CACAACATCTGAGAAAATCCAATCATTTATGTAGCCATCAGTGGTCTGCTTGTGTTCCAAATCATATCAGTTCTATATTGATGCTTCTTGTTGTGTTTAGCGAGTGAGGGAGTAAACGTGGATGAAAAAAATGAAAAAAGCTTTATGTTTTCACACTACAAAATTTGTGGGGTAAAATTCCTTCAGGTCTGACTTGTGTATTACTCGTGCATTGTTTATTTTCTCTTTATTTGGAGTAAAACAAACATAGCAAACCATCTCAATGCTTTGTTGTAGCAGCAAAGATGGATACTGGACAATCTCTCTTAGAAGCTTAAAACTAAGATGGAGGATCACCTTCTGTAGGACAGACGGTAAACATACGGCCCCTGTAGAAAGCTAATGGTTGAGATCAAAGCTTACTAATGTATCAGAATGGCTCAGTGTAGACCCAAATCCATGGAAGGATTTGTGGCAAAACATAAAAACCTCTCTATTCAATCTGTCTGAACTTAAAATATGTTGAAAAGATAAAAAGTCATAAATTTCACTATATCAAGATGCATACTTCTTTAAGTGTGCATGAAAGGGTGAAATGACTCCATAAATTTGGGCTGCAGGCTACATCTGAAAGCTGTACTTTTCATGACAGTTTAAATTCCCACTGTAACATTTTATGTTGATCTATCACATTAAATACTGATGGAAGTTTGTGGTTCTGGTCTGACAAAAGGTGGAAAACTCAAAGGCATATCATTAGTTTAACAAGGACCTGCATCACCAATTGAATATGCCATGACTTACAAATTATTTCAGAAATTTTAATAGTTTTTTTAGGGGATGTTTTGTAAATTCATCTTCCCTACCAAAGACATGCCTTATAAATAAGCCAGTCCTTTTAACAATGATATAATAAATAGTCTGCATCTTTGTATATTTACTCAGGTTTAAAGTTTTTAGTGAGCTGGCATTTTTTAGATAACCTGGCACAAGCCAGATTTATAGGTTTATTGTTCAATTTAAATTCTACACAGTATCCATCTTTAGAAGTCTCCTGTGGAAAGTGTTTGCAAAAGGAAGGATGATTTAGTATCATTTTTCAAGCTGGTGGGGTAAATTACCAAGAGGCACCAGCCTCCCATGTAAAGCTTTTAGCCAATTGTAGCAGTAGTAATTGGCTGTGATGTATCATTTGTACACAAACTTGTATTCATGTTCACTTACCATTTTTATGTGACATGTACTTCATCCACAATGATTCCAACAATGTTTTACTGGTTCAAGGATGAAAGCATGTTGTTCCATATAGAATTGAGCAGCCCTGACTCCGGGCTCCCAAATACCAGCTGGTAATCGCTACCGATTACTTTTTTGTCATTGCCGCCAAGTTTTACAGCAGAAATGCCAGTAACAACAGGATCCCTCTGCAGCTTTAGATTTGTTTCACAACTAGCAGAGTTAAATGATAAATCTAACTCTTGCCAAATCTGGTCGAGAATAACATGCAAACATCTTTCCCATCCATAAAGGAACAAATGGTACTTATTTGCTCCAGCTAAAGCAGACTGCATAGCGGAGTCTGCGTCCACTGGCACAGCCATGCTTGTTTTTCTTTAGACCGCTGCTGGTTGACATCATACACATCTCTGGTTTTCATTGGTTGGATATTCAAGATTAATGCATATATTGGCTTCTGGCTAGATGTATTTTTGGGAGTTTGTGAATTAATGTGTCATGATTTTATCTAAAGATCTGAACCGCATGCAGAAGACCAAACAGAGAGACCAGGGAAAAGTTTAACAGGTTTTATTGAGAGTAGGTTGAGAGGAGTCCAGTGCTGCTCTGAACACTGTCGAACCGGGACTGAAAAGTGAGGGGGAAGATTCTGCGGTTAGTTCAGGCTCAGTGGGAAATTTGTGTCTTTGATTTGAAGAAGGGAATTAAGGCAACAGGACTCACGTTTCCAGAAAAAGGTGTCTCTTGTTGAATCCAGTCGATGTGGGTTGTTCCAGTGACTTGCTCGTTCAAGGGCGGACAGGGTTTAACCAGGTTGAGGTGTTTCCTTTAGGAATGGAGGAGCTGACTGCCACTTAGTTTTCCTGCGGTACTTGAAAGGTTTCTTGTGAAGATGAATCCCCTGCTCAGAGAGACGCCCAAACAATCCTTGGGGAAAAGTACATCCAAACCACTAGCTTGAATCCTCAGCTCAGTTTGATGCTCAGAGAATCCTTCCAGGGGGGAGAAGGTCCAAAACATCCAGTTTGCAGGATGACTTCCTGCCGAGAGGCAAAGACAAAAACAGCAAGGTTAAAACACAGGTTGACAAAAACTCAGTTTGACTCAGCAAAACTCAGCTTGGCTAGAGTACCCAAAACTGGCAAACACTCTGGTGTCGAGGTAGTGGCAGTCAGAAGCATAAGAGTCCTCCGGTAATGAGGTAACTATCCGCAGGTGTATGAGGAGGCCAACGAGAACCAGGCACCGCCTGGTGGAGGAGGGAAAACAAACAAAAGCCCAAACCACACAAACTGGATTCCTGACATAATGTTATCAGATCTCGCAAAATATCATCTCCATTTAGAGCCAAGCGTGTGATAGCCTGAGAGAAGATTCTCTCACCATAATCAATGACGCAGGAAACCGCTGATTAACTAAAAATCATTGTTAAAAAGAAGATTATATTATCAAGTAAACAAAGTCAGGTAGTATATTCTCAGTGATTTAACATTAACACAATGATCTCTGAATTGAATATTATTTCAGTTTTAGCATTGTCTTGTCATCCATCAGAATAAGTTCACAATTGCAACATATTTGCACTCAATCCTAATTTTTTGTTTGCAGTGCCAGGACTGAAAGGTCCTGATACCAAGATCCAAAACAAATCAAACAAACTAATCAACTTTATATGCCAAAAAAGCAAAGTCAGAGCTATCAAGGCAAATTCGTATGTTGCTCTATGACTGCTTTTACAGATTGAGTCATTACTTCCTGACATAAATCTTAATACAGCCTGCTGTTACTCTACCTATTAATCTGTCTTGGAGTAACAAGATTATTTCGAATCTAGGGTGTCAGAGCAGAGGGGACAGCCTGTGCAAGCCAAGGTTGCATTTCAATATACCTTACAGTGGAGGAGTAGAATGTGACTTTGTTCGTCCTCTGTGGTTTTTTTCAGTAAATTAGACTAGAGCTCTGCTCACTGCAGACAAGACTATGCTCATTTCTTGCAACTTTAAATTCAACTAATGTAAAATATTGTCTTTTAAACTCTGTGTTTCTGTCTGCATTCACTCAAAGTTTCACATTGCTAAAACTAATTATGTACCTTAAAGCTGGATTTACAAAAAATAAAATTCTTAGGGTAGCCAATAATGTCCTTTGTGATAGTCAGGGACTGTTCAGAGTCCTCTGGTTCTGCTTTGCAGAGGTTTACCTCTGACCAGGGCATGAAATTGGCACCTGGCAATGCGCCAGGAGCACCTATAGCCAAAAGTGGCATTTGCAGGTTCCCCAAATGGCATATATCATTTTAAAAAATGTGCATGCCAGAACCAGTTTTGGCTCTCGCTGTCACTCCAATCCGCTAAATGGAGTTTAACTTTTACGATTTGTGGGTTAAACTGTCAAATCTACCTGCCATGTTGGGGGGTACCCAGTAAGACAACACTCAATGCTGAGGAAGTGTGGTTGACCAATCATATAGGGTATTGTTTTGTAACACAAGCCCCACTCTTTACTAGGATTTTTAAAACAAAATGTGTGGACATATAGCTGACGTAAAGAGTCCGCAGCCTGTAACCAACCAAGAGATAGATGATGCTGATTTTAAAAAAAAGATAAACGTATTTGTAGAAAGTTAATGCCATTTTGATATTAATGTAAAACTCTAATAAAAAAAAGTGTTGAACCTAGACAAAAACAGTAACCTAGAAACAATTGTACAGTTAAAGAGATTTGCAGCTGTGTGTTAACTTGATAAATGAGACCATCATTGAGATGATTTTATATGTGTAATTTTCTGTTCTAAATGTTAGCCACACCAGGTCAGATACAACTGTCATAATGTAGGTCTAGTCATAAAAGAGATTAGCTGGTTATGTAGGGAGCAGAAACAAACGACCCAGAATTCAGCCAGACAAGATCATATAGCTTAAAACCGTTTATTGTAATGTAAACTGCAGCAGGTTGAATCACCAGCATCAGCAACAGGAACCACAGGAAGTGGAGACTATAGGTTAGTGACCAGAGAGAGAGACTTAGGGAGGTGTTAAAGTCAGTGATTCTTTGGGCACTAACCTTGACTAAAAAGACCATCCAACTTCTGATGGTGTCATCTTGGCTTTCTGATGTGGAGTCTAATGAAAGATGTAAAATGAGTTTGGTGGTGGGTAGAAATCTTTTTTTAACAAAGGATATCTTATTTAACTGTAGGCAGAAATGTAATATTATTACAATATATGTAATATTTTTACAAAATGAGTATAGCAATACAACTTTATTGCTGTCTCTTTATTTGCTCTCAATTGAATAAGCCAAGAGGCCAGAACAGTGTATTTATATTGAAAATGTGTCAGTATATTGTTTATATATATTGAAAGCCTCTGGTGAGGTGATGGCTTATGGAGAGCATTACCGTTAGCAGTTTTAAAGCAGCATTAACCATGATTTAGAGTCTGAGCAACAGCAGCATGGGAAAAGACTGAGTGAACTTCCAGAAGGGTATACTCTGATTTGTCTTTAATATTTTCCATATGTGGTATGAAGCAAATCCATCAGCAATGCACTGTATTATAGCCATGTTATGTTAATGACACTTTAATAAGTCATCCACTTGCCAACAGAACATACTTTTATTCCATTTTTCCTCAGCTCTGTTCTCTGGTGACATGACTTGTAGTTTGAAGGATGAATTTCTGTCAGTAATTGCTGCTAGAGCTTTGAAACCTCTTGTTATAATAACCAGAGCAAAATGTGAAATGCTACCACATGGTGTGTCTTTTGTCATCTGTCCTGCACAGACTGAGAACAGCATAATTGAGATGTGGAATAAGACGGGGCATAAAGGGAACCATTGGAACCGTGTTGTGGTCCCCCTAAGGAAGCTCAGGAACTTTGAGGTGATTTTCGAGGGGATCCGCTCCAAAGATCTGAGCGGAGGAGCCGCCCTGGACGACATGGAATACATCGACTGCGCTCCGAGTAAGTGCTTACAGTTGTATAATATCTCTGACAGACACAAAACCAAAAAAACATAGATGCTGAGATCTTCTGAGAGAATGACATTCTTTCTCCGTTTTTTCCAAGGATGCATTATTTATTTAAGTTCTTTGACATGTAATTCCTAAAAGTGTAGGAGCTGTCAGTGAGCAAAAGGTTATGGAGAGCTTTTCTATGCTCACCATCCGAACTGGTAAACTGGACAAGGTAGCTCTTGAAGGACACCTGGGAAAGGGATCATTGAATGGTATTCAGCAACCCTTCAGCACATGCATTTGAGATGCTTAAAAAATAGAAGGAAATACAAATCTTTATTTTGCTTCCTCTATTTTTAAGCAGCTTTAATTCAACTTAACCTTTAAGCTAATTTATTATTTGTTCCAACAAAGTTCGTGTCAGAAAATGACACAGGTGCATAGTCACTCACCTTTTCATTTCAAATTGTTCTTTGCTTAAAGCATTTTGTGCTTAATAAGGTGCCATGATTGTTCATTTTGAAGACCTAAGTATTTTAACTTCAACTTTTTGGACCCAAGGTCCCATATTTTTTTTTTTTCATCAAAACACCCACACAACAGCTGACCCCCCTTCCTGGACCTATGAGCTTCAGTCTTTTTCCTTCCTCTTTAGCATCAATCATCTGGACAAAACACTGCGGTCAGTAATGCTAACATTTACTTTCATAAAGGACTTTGTCTCTGAGTGCCTTTGCAAACTGTTATCTGGCTTTCATGTTGCTTTTGGAGTAACAGCTTCTTCCATGCTGAGTGGTCTTTCAAATGTCTGTAAAAGACTTGATACACTGTGGATAATGAAACATGCTCCAGTTTCAGTCAAAGTCTTTTGTTTTTGTTCAGGGATTGAGACACATCTTTAGCCTCTAAAAACAAGTTCATGTAGGGGACACAGAAACTGTCTCTTTCCTTAATTGTTTGAAGACCACACATTCCAACAGTGTTATGTGAATATACTGGCGTACAGCTGTTGTTCTTAAGCATCAAGAAATTTTAAGCTAGGATTAACCAGACTTTTTGAACACCACAGTTCTCTTATTATTATTTTGGCTCTGTTTTCTTTTTTTAATTATGTCACAAACGGAAACATTATGTTTAGAGTGTCCACTTAAATACTTTCAAGATTTAGGTGATATTGTTGCTATAAAACTTTAAAATCTTCCTGTACACTTACTTAAATTATTTTAGGGCATATTCATTTAAATATATTTAAAATTTTAAGGAAGTGATTTTGGAGACGTCTCTCTGTCATTATTCTGAAAAAAGCAAACAAGTCTGATTTAATGTATGATGTATAATGTAATGATGGCAAAAAAGAAATGGTTAATTTTTATACCGTCATGTTAGTATCTGGTTTTAGTTGTATACACATATATTCACCACAATTAATAGAAAATGGTTCAATGTTCTAAGTTGGTTTTGTTGTTGTTGTTGTGTGGAGGTTTTTAAAGGACACAAATGCAGAGATGGAAGCTGAGGTGATTTCTTACAGGTTTAATAACCAATGATGGCAGCAGAAGCTTAAAACCAGAAATCCCCAAACACAGGAACCAGAGCAAAGGGGAACACGTAGGTGAAGGAGGGAATAAACAAAAGAAGAGAATCCAGTAAACAGTAACTGCAGAGGAGGAGTATAAATACAAAAACAGAACAAAGAATGGAGTAATCAACTGATTGGGAGCAGGTGTGGACTGAAGGATCTATAAAGGAGCTAGTGGAAGAAGACTGACAAAAAAAGGCAGGAACAGAGAATAAACAATATATACATAAGAACTCAAATACAACCAGAAAACAGATAGATTGACACATACTGGAAATTAAACCAATTACCTAGGAAACACAGAAAGACATAAATCAAAGTGTAACTGAAAACTCAAAAAGAAATACTTAAACAGAACCTAAAGGTTCAGAATCATGACAGTTTAAATGTGATTTGGCGGTAGCCATCATGAAAAGGGTTTGTTTACCAGAACTTGTACTGAAACATGCACAGAAAAATAGCAAACAAAAGAAAATTAATTTTGAAAATACGGATATGTTAAAGTAGCTTTAATATGTCAGTACTTTATCAAAGTCTAATAGTAGACCCAAGCATGGAGGGAGATTTGTGAGGAAGTTCAGGTAGCAACAGAAAAAACCACAGAATATTACCAGCTGCTATTATCATTGGATAATAAAAACATCATTTTTGTCATCTAAAGTGAACCGACAACATAAGTTTTATAATAACAAACACTGAGAGGGTGGCAATCGGACCGAGGATGCACCAAAGTAAAATTCAGTTTGTGTAGCAAGTTCTTGTTCTTTGTCCATTTCTGGAAAATAACAGATTTGAATTAAATTAATAAGGCAACAAAACAATCATGACCGATCATGGATTCCAAAAGTTGCATGTTAACAATATTAAAAATCCTCAGGACATTTGGTTTCTAAAGAATCAGGACAACCTATGATAACTTCATTTCACCTATTTTCCTGGCTTTAAAGTATATTTTCTAATCTTGAAGAATAAGATGAATCTATCTAGTGAATATATTGAATGGCTGTTCCAGATGATAGTTTGAGGTATGAAATGCAGGGAAAACAGATTAAAAACTGAGAAGCTGGTGAGTGTTGAAGGAAAGCATTTTTCATTGCTGACATGTTGCTGTCATGCTATGGTTGATGTTTGTGTCCGAGACAGATGCTCCAAATTAAGATGGACCTGGCACGAGGCTGGGCAGCATGTGGGATGTTTCTCTGCTCCATCAAGGCCGTTTCTCTCTGAAGCACACAGGCATACAGTAAACACACTTTGGGGGGAGGAATAAATACTGACCTCTAGTTCAGTTGAGAAGTACATCAAAACACTCTGAGGGGTGTGTACGCAAAGACTGACAAGCAGACAATCTGTCTCCCCGAAACCAAATTATTCAAACATACAGTCTCCATCAACATCAAATAGAAACCAAAATGGATTTTTGATTTACTCTGTAATGTTTTTAACCCTGCCAACCACCGGGAAGTCTAACTTTTTGCCAATCATAGATTTCATGCAGTGTTGATTAATTTGTTATTGAAAATAACAAAGTTGTTGTTGAAAATGTTGCTGTTTTGTGCTTTTTTTCTTCTCCAAGGGTTTCAATCTGGAAAGGCAGGGAATTTAATTTAAGTGTTTCAAAGGTCTAGGTGGGAGTGGAAATGATTTGGAGACATTAAAGGTGTCTAAATAGCCTATCATTTTGCTTAAGAAGCATTATCAGAGTCTAGACTATGCTTCATGTTTAATCATATTAGTTCCATTACTTAATTCATTCATATATCCATTTATCCATCCCTGTGTTCATTTGCGTTTTTGTTTGCCTCTAATTCCATCTTTCCGTTTATCATTCATTTTAATCTAAATGAGTAAATTAATTCCTCCATTTATCACTGTCTGTTATTTCATACATTTATTCATTTATTTTTCTACCCTCCTATTCATTTGTTTATAAATTCATTAATCCAGCCACCTGTTCTCTTCAACTATTCATTCCTTCATTTATCTGTCAATTCATTCATTTTTACATTATCCATTCATTCATTTTGCATTGCTGTTTTAAAACTATTTGGTGATCTGTTTAATTCTTCACCTACTGATTTATCTTTGCGTTAGTCCATTTATTTGTTTTTTCTTTTAATTTTCCCAATTGTCTGTTCATTCATACATTCATAGATATATCCTTTCTTTCTTTCTTTCTTTCTTTCTTTCTTTCTTTCTTTCTTTCTTTCTTTCTTTCTTTCTTTCTTTCTT